TCAGTGTAAGTTTCGCTGCAGCCGCAAGTCAGGCGATAAGTACACTGCATGAAGGATGGAACCTCAGTGGCGCTTGGATAGGCAGTACCGAAATCTTCATAACTAGCGACAGCTACCTTTAGATTCCCTCTGCCTTGATACAGCATAATGTACTGGAAACCAAACTTTCAATTACATAGGACTGATAAGCTTGAAATTTCTACAATTGTTATGATCTAGACGGGACACGACTGCTCAGCTACTGAAGCTACATACAATCATTTGAATGCTTTGTTTGTTCACACAAAATACGTAAACAGTCAGTCACCACCAGACAGACGATGGCAATGGTGTATCGTGACGAGCCCAACTCGTTTAAAGCCGAAATCGCGTATCTTCTCCCCCCCCAGTGGAAAGCTCAGGAACGCTTTTCATTATACCAAGATTTATGATGCTTGAAACAAGAAACAGTAACACTGACTCAAGAACACATGACACCAGCTTCGCCCCATTTTTTCCATGAAAGACAGTATTAACAAAACTGCGACATCACGCGCTCTTTCCAAGAAAAGGAAAATAAAGCGACTACTCAGGCGAAACAGGCACTACACTGTAGTCATGAACAAAATTTCACACAAGTGAAGTTGTAGTGTGAATGAATCAACCCTTTTGTCGATTTAGCACCAAACGGCACTAGAATATGTCTTCCATGGACTCATAAAATGAAGCACGATGGCTTACGCAATATTCGTCGGTCGTCATTGCTAAACCTCCCATTTAACAGAAGAACAGCAATTATCGGACCTCTCTCCAGCAGATAGCATAACCTAAGGTGATGAAAACCGACGGTGAACGATTGTCTCAACATTAGCCTGGAAAAGAAGAAAAAACAGTTACTCAGAGCGCAATCTGCAGCAGTATAGGCAGAGAATCACAAAATAAAGACACCGACAATCTCAATCGAGAATGCTTTATGGCTGATGTATAGACCGAGCAGATCAAGTAAAAAACTGCGGTGTGAAGGAACATTGCGCTAGCAGTTAATAATAATTAATTTTCTGTTCAACATTCAAGGTAGTGCACATGTGCCGTTTGGCTTTTTCTGTTATTTTTATTTCGAAAGCTCGAATACCTCCAGAGATTTGATGTTGCCTAACATGTAACGATAAAGTGGGAAGGAAATACATGAACGTCTGCAGCTACTAAACGGTCTGTCAGAATCCCAAACACCTTCACGATTGCTATTTTTTAGCAATACTCAATGAAACGGGTGAACGGTATCTTCGAGTGACGCGTAATACCAGAACCTCCGGGAAGGCAAAACAAAGTCGGAGCTGAGTTTCTATAAGGTACTATTAATGTAAGACAAATACATAAATTGTTCAGACTTCGAGAGTAGATACTCATCCAAAACAAATGGTCCACTAGGCATACAAAAGTGCAAACCAAAGGAGCAAACAGGCTCCCACGTGAGACAGTCTCACGCGCAAAGTCGGCTACAAATGACCGGATGACCTTAAGGCCAAATAAGTGAAGTGGTAAGGACAAAAATCGTCAGTTCGTATATACACACTGAACGCAAAACAGGGGCGGGGGTTACAAATGGGGACAGAATAAACGTGGGGAATTTCGTTGTCAGCGTTCCGCTCGACACTCGTACTTTAGCGTGCGCGTCTGAATATGCGCGTGCGTGTTTGTGCCCCGTTTACTGTGCCTGACTTGTTCTCACAGGATTCCCGTGTAAAGGCACTGCCAATCAGAGTCACAAGACTTTCGCCGGAAGGGACGTCCGCAACCCACACTATCCAACCACGATTTCCCCTCGGCATTGTTTGGTGTGCGGACCTTGACACTGCAGTGTTCCGGCCAGTGACAGACCTGTGAATTTGTTGACGCCACGAAAGTGGATAATTGAGTTTTGCTTAGCTACGCTATACCGTAGACCCAATTCTAATCTCTGATATTGAGGATAATCAAATTTATGCGTGACTCAAATTTCCGTATCCGGAACCTTAATAAACGATATGTAACCTCGTGTTTTTTATTCATTTCATTTTAACATTTATGAGGGTTTTAGAAGGATCTATGTAATACGTAAAACATCATTGATATAAACGGCCCATATACTGAAGAGCCCAAACGCAAACTAAGGTTGTCGAGCAATTCACTCAAACTTCTCAGTGTGAACTCCGACAACTTAGAGCATCGTCTGGGACTTCAGATCGCTTGTTTAATAAAGGGCTTCAGTCACTTCCAATAGAGATGTCGCCCTGCAAGTAGAGCCAGCTTACGCCCAAAAACACTGCATACCTGTATCATCCTTGTTTGGAATCATCAGCAGCGCGCATCTCGGAAAGTTTCGGCCAATTTGCTCAAAGCCAATAGGTCAGACCGTCCAGCATAGTAATTCAAGGGCCACTGCACTGCGTGCTCTTTAACTGGAACTTGAAAATACTCGAAAAGTCACTATCTTTACTCCTGGGGCTTCATGATAGAAACCTACACCAAATGAATTCACCTAAATCCCTCACACTTCTCTAGCAACGAACAAAGTCGGTTCAGTCTGGCTTCCGAACCAAGTAATTCCGTAGATTCAGATGCATCACGTCCCAACAGAACACCCATTATTGATCGAACCAGCTACGGCGTCATGTGGATTTCAGGCAACAGGAACTATCCTCACACCGATGGTACTAGGTGTCCAGAGATACAGCACTATAGCGACCAGCGAAGCTGATCAACCAACGAATTATGGGCGAATATATGCAGCGCCTCAATAACTCCGGTGAAAAGCAACCGACTTCCTTAAATATTGTTGTTTCGTTTATCGTGATAAACATTCGTACTCCTATGCGTACTGGCTACTGAACTTATACTTACAAATTAAGCATAGTCCCAATGGGCTTTTAAAAGGGTCTTTTGCGGTAGCTCTAGAACCCATTCGGTGCATAGCTACCATGCCACCCAAAGGAAGCGCGACGCTGGGATACCAGGTCGCCCAAGTATAGATAGGGGAAGTCGAGATGCACAGGTCGTGCCCGAACCACGAATCTTTCGGTCAGTAAATTCGCGCTCTAACCGCTGAGTACCTCTCCCCCTACTAGATGTTCATATACATTCTGATATTCTATTAGATATTTATGGCATAACAGCATGTGCATTAATTTTGCGAACCTGACGTGGACATCGTTTCCTTTGCGTTCGTGGTGGAAATGCGGAAGCAAAATTAAATTTTATAGCGGCAACGTTAGGGAGAAGACTGAAAGTCATAATAAACAAACTTATGTGCCAATGTAAGAGCAATGGCTGTTAATCCGACAGATTCAGCATGAATGACGTCCCAAATTTGGGGTGAGGATCCTCGCTGAAAATGGGTCGAGTGCAAGCATGTTTCGCAGTGGTGTGGGCGCCGGTTCTCGAGACGATATCGCTCATAAGGTGTCCACTGGAGACCGCAGAGGGGTGAAATGGCGGAGTAAGGGAACAGGTAGATAACGGAGATGCATACCCTTATCTTCATACATAGTGATCAGTAGGCTCACCTGCTCCGTTCAACAAGAGCCGACTCCAGTTGTCATTCGCGCATCATCTGGACAGCCGTCATTGTGTTATTACGCATAATACAGTCCACTAACCGCTTCACTCATTGCAGTGGACCTGTGGATCGGGAATCTGGGGTGAATTTAAACCGAATGAGTCGGTCCAAACCAGCTTTACACCACCTGACCCATTGTGCCATCAAAATACACACATCTAATGGTAAGCATTTTAGTCAGTGCAGCTAATACTCCTCGGTCAGTTATATTTTTTCGTTGAGCAGACCTGATCACAAAGGCCGTTTTCCTACAGCAGGTCTGTACGACTGCCCCCTTCCATCAGACGGTATTCTAGCAAAAAAGTTATTTTAATTCCCATATACTCATACCGCAAAACTTCTCGTGAGGCAAGCGCCGGAACATCGGATGTCGTCCTCCGAATGCTGACATTTGCCGTCTTGGAAACCACACCAACTGACAAGAATTAACATTCTCAATGCACTACTCATAGGGTTGCTGAAAATTCTTCGACAGCGCTCATCGGGTAGGCGCAGTGTATTTCTCTAATTAACCTTCCCGTCTCAATCGAATTCACGGATTCAAAATTAGACATTCAAACCTATTCCAGAATGTCAGCGGGGAAAATAGTTGCAAGGATCACCCATGGACTAAATTGAAGAAATTCCAAAAGTTCATTGAAACAAGTGCCACAACGAAACTGAAATTCACAGATAGTGTGTCCGAACAGTTTAGTCAAGCAGGTGCCACTTTCGATCCGGAAGTTTAACAACAGTGAGCAAAACAAAGATTTGCCACTTAGGAGCCAGCGTTTACGTCATGGTTCCTGACCAAACAGCACAGTCACACCTGTGTGCATACGCCAAAATGTAATTTCATGGGGTGTTTACTCGAATAGGATACACAGAAAAACGTCAGTTTCACTATGCTTATTTTTCATCGAATAGTAGAACCAACCTATATACGTCAATACAGAAAGCACGTCGTTCTTTGTACGACACGGTAATCAACAACGAACCTGAACGAATTGTAATTCACTAAATATTCGCGAAAATCCTCACAGCGACAGCTTCTGCGTGAAATGGAAACGATAATAAACGAAACGCAATGCTGTGCGAACCAGAGTGGATAAATCCATTCAACCCAGAACCTAAAATGGCACACGTAGCGAGATAACTCGTTTGTTGTCATTACTTTTTTACTCGGTCAATTTTCAAAGCTGCGGAACTGGAGGTGGAGGAATCATTCGCCTGAAAATTCCAGCTTTCAGACTTGTTCGGTCCAAGTGCGTGCGCACTAACGTGGTTCAGTCCGGTTTTACGCACCAGTTTATCAGCTCCTGCACAGCACAGCTACCTACCTCATCTCTCCAAATCGTGGATGGATGAAATTGTGGCAGCTGCAACCAGTGTGTGACAAGTACAGGGTTTTTACAGATGATAATGATGACCTCTAATTGGATACACTGTAGCCGTCTTTTATCTACCCCTCCGTTAATAACCATCGGCGGGATATTAACAAAGGAAATAGTACATTGCATTATTGAGGAACACAATGCGATTTATGCGATTAAAAGTACCGGTTGGTGAGACGATCAATGAGGGAATGGGTAAGAAAGTACGGAAAGCCGTAGTAGACAGTCACGCTGGATGACAACCATACGGAATCACAGTCAGGGATCTCAACAATAAAATTGAATCTGTTTTAAGACAAGGACATTCAAAAGCAACTGGAAGAACCATACAACTGGCAGAGTCGACAGTGCAGAAGGAATGAAATAGAACGCAGTGCGCCAGTCTTCATGATTTGGCACACGTGTAAAAAAACAAGTGATAAGAAAAACGGGAAGATCGTCGGTCAGGAATGGAGAGCGACGCATGGAAGGGCGTCAACAATCAATAACCAAATACCATTGGCAAAAATAACATCAAACGCAGTGGTGAGATGACAACGGAGTGAGATGTACAAAAAAGCATAAGGCAAAGCTCTGAATCACCTAAAGCATATGTAACCGGGTAGCGGATTGTACCAATGACAACACATGCATTGCAGCCGAGTATCAGTAGGCTTGTCTGTGGATGGAGAAAGAAACGATCGAAAAGGCAAGTACTTCTCGTCACAGAGGGGCATCATCATCCAGGTAACGTTTCGATGCAATAGCGAGGGCGTTTGTCTCAATAGGATCGATCTCTTTGTATTCTATTTTATAGTAATCTGCCGGACTGGCGGGAGAATCCGAGCCAGTTACAGTGGAAGTCGGACACGAGCTGGTGACCTGAACATCTTGGGCTTTGGACTTTGGAAGCCGTTTGGGAGGCACAGGTCGTGGAATATTACCGTTGGTTCGCTGAGAGCCTATTTCGAGATTGCAAGGTTCGATGTAGTTCAGTTGTTGCATACGTCGAGTTGACTGTTGAGCAGCCGTTAGGTCTGGATTCGGCGCTGGATTACGACTCGAAGGCTAGGAAGATAGAATAGAACGGAAATTGGCTGCAGAGAACGCAATTCAAGTACGGTTGTGAAACACACACAATCAGAGCAAACAGCTCCCAAATGTGCAAACATCACAATATCCTGTGATCTAAACGTCGGAGGTTCTATTAGTTGAATTGGCATGTACCGAGTTCTACTAAAACAGGGATTGCAACACAGCTGACGGCCATGAAGCAATTGATCAATGGTTAACTGAGCAGAGCTATCTCCGTTCAATATATGCTTACGCGTGGTGGTTCCAGGAGTAATAAGGACATCCTGGATTGCATTGCCGCCCTCTTTAATTCATCCAGTTGCAAGTGGAAGCTTAGTACCTTACAACATAATGAGTTGGTAAACACCCAAGCATGCTGAAGCACTCAGTAGCCAATGCCCAAGGTAACGCGAAACCTTACCGGTCATAAGCAGCTGTAGGACCTAGGCGGAATGAAAGTCTATTAACGAATGACGGCTAATCTGAAAGCTATGTGAGTCATCATCATTATCCGCTGTGATAACCGCGCACTTGTACAGTGGTTGTAGCTGCCACGGTTTCGTTCACCGACGATTTGGGGAGGTGGAGCAGGTAGCTACGCTTTGGAGGCGGGAGCTGATAAAGTAGTGCGTAAATACGGCACTATAGTTGGACTGTTAAGTGGGGGGTTAAGAACGGAGCTATGCATTGAAGGCAATAGCTTGGATGCATGAGCGCCATTGAGGGCGCGGTTGGGCTATGTGAGTAAAAAACAGTACACTCGGTTGCTACTATCGACATCACATAGTTCAAGAAACTACAGTGCCTGTTACAGCATAATCGGCTATGGTGTATCAGAAGACCAAATTAAACCAGTTGGATCAAATGTACCTGAGATCAAGCAAGAAGAGAAATGCCATCTCGTATACTTCAGATTTAGAAGCACAGGTTCAAGAGGTGATGCGAGGTTCTACATGGAACCACCGGTCCGCAAGATGGGTTTGAGCAGCGCACACGCACTCAGATCAAAGCATGAAATTATATATTCAGTGCTTGGGTATCTTCCAAAGACGTGACTGGTTGTGAAAAGGGATCCTTCATTCATCTTAGCCAACTAACAAGGGTGCCAGATGGACAATTTCGTGGGTATAAGTTCAATTTGCGTGAGCACTGCATGCCACGACGGCGGCAGGTACACGGAAAGGGTGTTCGAAGGTCATGTCGCTCATCATTATTAACAAAAGCTCCGGTCTGGTGTGGTTAAGCTCATATTCGTCTATTGAAGATGGCTGCTGAGCAATTACACAAATCACTGCCTCAATAACGCGTTGGTTAAATGTGACGATCCAAACGACTTTGTAATTTCTTCAAGGCACCAGTGAATACACATGTATGCAGGATTCACCAAGAAGGTCAATGAAAACGTATATGAGAATGCGATGAGTTCTTAAGAAGACGCTGCATGATACCTGATCAGAAGCTACTAAACCTCTTCAGTACAGAGATGCTGTGGTCTTGTCAAGTCAGACATCGCGTAATTTTAAAATCAAGACCTTTCGGGCGCAGCGAAGTGCGCTTCTCAAGTAGTTCAATCGAATGGTTCGATTCAGTTTATTGGGGCTACTCAGCTGCACCTTCCGCCAGCATGTAAATAGAGTTGGCTACTCGGCGCCAGTTATTCACACGACTGGATTTGTTAGACGCCTGCGACAGATACATGCTGCTGTGTTGTACGCTCCCTTGATTGAAAAGATTACCGAAATACACATGATGTTGAAAGATAGTTGTACTCCGTCGGTTGGATCTCCATTAGTTCAATATGTCGACGAACGCCGTCTCCGCTTATTGTTGATGCACAGCCGAAGAATTGCGCGTACAGCGTTTCGTGAGTGACGTAGAGCGACAGTGAGTTGAGTTAGAACGATTGATTAGGGCATATACTGACATTGAGGACCGTATTTGAAATGGACACAATAATTGACGTAACAAGGCCAAAGCAATCCTTCGCGAAGAGACCAAGCAACATGAGTGACCACAAATCTGTTTAAATCTCAAGTGCACATCAGTGGTCGGCTGGACTATGTGCGTTTTCTGGCAGTTAGTGGGTTCTCTCGTTTCATACGTTTAAGCACATTACTTCAGCATACCTGCTATAACCTACAGCTTATCAAGGCTCTGTTCACAAGAGATTAGAAATTCAACTAAGCAATACAACCGGTGATGCCACAAGTGCTGGAGTATCATCAGAGTCATATTGCGATACACCGGTGCGATTCGGAGATACCAGTACTCAGAGTCTAAAAGCATGATAGAAAGATAGCGCTGACAGTCAAAGAGGTCATTACACGGGGGGTAAACGAGTAAGACTGAATGTATCTTGTGACTGCTCACCATTCAGATCTAGCATAAAAAGATTATGAGCGTGGTGAATAAATAGACAGTCAAAACAGTCTACAAATAGACACACCTACGCAAGTCACATGACCAACTGATAGCAGGAACTGTGCAAACATACCGCTAACCTACACCCCCTCGAGCACGATGTCTGCATTGTCCACTGAAGGACCGCGACAGTAGACTAGTCAGATTTCATATTGATTGGTATATTCGGTGTGCATTAGACATAGAATTGACCTCAATTCGGTCAACGGTCGGCGGTAAGGTGTTTGGTTTGGATGCAAACCAGTTCCAGATAAAGCCTTAAATTCTTACCGATTGTCGACTAGATAAAGCACAGCTATCTTTAGGAAGTTCGTTACATGTCTGAGTGACCACAACCGAAAGGAAATGTATCAAACAGGACATAGAACGAAAACAAGATACGATCAACCTGAAAAAACAGCAACATGTGTTGCTTCAAATGTGCACCAGTAGGATAGGATCAAAACGCTGTGCGGAGCAGAGAGTAACATCTCAAGAAAGACGCTGCTTACACAAATACCGAGTCAACCGAACATTGGGACAGCAGCTATCCGGCAAAATCGATGGGAGAAAATTACTCGGCATACTAAATGATCCGTCTAGCAAGCGCGGTCAATTTTAGTTGTGAATAGATACGAGCGTCAAGGTGAAAACGAGGGTGGTTTGCTCACGCTATCCACCTTTTTAATCGCCTGAATTCCCGAGGACGGTATGTCATGCCGTGCTCACAACGTTACAAAAAGTGTGTTATGAAAGTGGAATTTCCTCATGGATCTTTGTAATGCACTTCTCATAAGGTTGCTGAAAAACCGTTGACAGCCCAAGACCGGTTTCGCCCCTTTTGGGGCTCATCAGGTAGGCGCAGTCCCCGGGTTTCCGTCAACTTTATGTTCTACTTGAAGCCAAATTGCACAAGCTTAGCGAATATACTCTCATTTGCAAATTAATTAAGTTTTTCGAGAGACTTACCTGAACCCTCGAACATCGTAGCGACTGAAACATGCGGCGGTCTGGTGCAGCACATTCAGTTGCCTGAGAACATCACAAACGAGAGATTCAGCTGGCTACCAGGTGAGTCTCTCGAAAAACCAAATTAGTTCGCAAATGAGTGTATATTTGCTATTCCCCCATGGATATTACGGAAGTCGGGCTACAGTTTGAAACCGAAGCGCTGATGCTTCACAGAGTAACCTCACTCCGACTGACAATCGGTTCCTACTCTGACGCAAGCAATACACAAGAAAAGTTGACACCAGTGACTGTCAAACAAACAACTTTGTTGCAATCACATCTACATCGTTGAAAGTACGCAACTTCCCTTTTGATTGTGTTTACCGGGAACGGATGCACAACCACTACATGGTTTATGTGGTAGACAGAGAGACAAGAACGAACTGCAATGAGGTCGTCAAAAATGTTTTCTTCCCTATTCTGCCTCCATCAGACCTTAATAATCGGTACCAGGACGGCTTATAATCAAGCAAATATCACGTAACTTCTCAAATTGTTCAGCAAGGCTAATTCGGTTCAGAAGCATCCAGTGAATACGATATGCAGCTGTTATTTCCCTATCAGGGTGAAGGCAAGCGGTGAGGCGATGACTACACTGTGAAAGCGGAATGAACGAAATGATAAAAGGGCACAAGTCATACTTCGTTTAGGGTGCTGCCCTGAGGAGGCATTTGACAATCCGGAACTGAAGGTGGTGGAGGTGCTGTCTCTGTCGGCGCTCCACTCAACGAATTATCCAAGAGGGACTGCTCATCTGGTTGGTGCTCCCCGCTCGATACGGAATCTACGCTGCTACTGTCGCTTTCAGCATCGCCCCTGTTCGAGTCGGTAGCACGAACAGGCAGTTCCAGGTCGCTCCTGAAAAAGGATCAGAAAGTAGTAGAAAGTGGTAGGGTAGGTAACTAAATTACCTTCAATTCTGATGCAGCAACACTACCCCTAACATTCCAGTCTCCAGAGAAAGCGGACCCTTCAATAATAGTAAAGCATGTTTCAAGAACATCAGATAAGTAAATTCTCAAGGATACTTTCAACGCCCAAATGATGCGACTGCCATTCAAAGATAAGTTAGTGGAATGTCATCCCGGCCCGATGATTGTGTCGACAGTCAACCAAATGATGTAGTGCGTATTGATCCACGCGATTCGCATATCTGATCATATCCCTTACATATACAAAATGACCACCATATCAAGTCAATCCGGTCCAGCCTTCATTCCCATTTCGTCCGAGTTTCACGGTAATTCCCACGATCAAGACCAAAACAGTTGGACAAATGAAAAACGACAAGCAAAGAGTTGCAAACATACTACATAAAGACGTGATGAAAAGGCTGGAAGTGCTGGAAACATGCAACCATGAGAAGGAGAGAAAGAGAAACGGAAAGCAACAGTTCTTCCTAATGTCTTGGAAAATGGGGGTATTTCGGAGAACCAGTACTTGGAGACTTCATTTTTAAAAAGTGCGTTGGGTTGTCATTTGCTTGTCTGGGTAAGTTATCATAGGGATTGTTGGTGGATAGAGCGATTGCTGGCCAGTAGATGCTTGGAACCGGCTCACACAATTAAAACGTAGTTGTTATTTTACAGAAATCGCCACGAAATGAGTCAACAACATGAGAGGTCAGATGGAACAAGAAACCATCGATTGCAAAGCTTATCTATGAAACAAGCCATCTGAGTGGCCCTAGTCACGATCGAAAATCGAAACTGCTAGGTTTTTATGACGCGATGTTTATAAGAACAGAACAATTCAAACTGCGTGCCAAAAATATTGATCCAAGACGTCCGACTGCCCCGAAACCGAACCTAATCTGCGTCCGCCCTCGTAACACTGCAGTTCGACGTCTTTAACCTGTTGCTACTATGTTCGACAACTATGAACAACCGATGTTTTACGTAATCGACTGACGACGGTAATTTGAAATGTTAGCATCTCGTAACTTGTGCCTTTTGGTTGGCCCGACAGAGTTCCGAAATTGCCGCTTTTCCGTTGCCATACAGTGGGCATTTCCACACATACAGGCCGCAACACAAACGGGACTGGTGCAGAGACCGTTCCAAAGCGAACTAATGATAATACAATGGTATGAAACCCAATACGGATGTAAATAATCGGTCTGGATCAGTATTGTTTATTTACCCAGCCTGGTTCCGTTTTAGTGAAACACCAATGAAAAGAATTTCCACCAAGCCCTTTCGTGGTTTGAAGATTACTGTCCCTGCAAAACTGTCTACTACGTTCCTATTCATTTGTCATTTTCTCGAAGTTGATGGTTTCCAAACACTAGTGCTAGTCTAGTACTTAAATTCTTCATAATGAGTACATAACTTTTCCCCAGGCGTATCATTAAGGCCAGACTGCGGTGAAATGACTAAGTTCAGGCATCCAAAGAAAAATCTCCATCAGCACGAAATTAGAGAGACCTTATGCCCCAAAATCTGTCCAGATGGCATCACAGCCACCCGCTCACTATGAGAACCAAACCTTTCCCCACCCCCCCACAGGGGCCGCTTCCATCAGCTGAAAAAGACGGAAAAACCCTCTATACAAATCGCCTCCAGACAACGCCTGAACCACTGTGTGTATGAGACATTCGGGAAAAGAGCACAAGAGGCCATAGTTTTTACTAAGAACCTAGGGAACGTGTGGGAGAATGAAATTCCAGGATGAATATCCAGCAGAAAATCATTAATCGATGAAACACGACCAGCGGCTATGTCAACTCCGGAGGTAAACATAGCACCAACGTTAATGAAGCTCGAAACCGAAGACAGAGCTATTCGCCATCAAAGTTGCAAGGACTAAGAACGAAGCTAGGAACCTCCTACAGGTTAACGTTAGTTGGGTGACGAAGATTAGAGCACGGTCAGTTTTTTGGTGAGGATTTTCTGCTTAACCTGTAGGTTAGCCAGATACGATAACGCGCGAGCAGCTTAAAACGTTTGCGATGTTAAAGCAGATGAAAATTCCAGTGAACTCCATTGACCGTCCGACTTTCGATCGGTTAAAAATAAACTAATGGTTCACGAACACCGCAGGCAAGAAAACCCCCGCAATCAATTTGTTCGTCTTGGAGCTATGGTTTGATGAGGACTTGTTTTTCCTACGGACTGGTTGCATCGCATCTTCAACGGAACGTAACCAGTACGGTGAGCTGGACATCGTTCTTCTAGTAAAACGGAGCACGTAAATTAGCAGTAACGCGCAAGAGACTTTAGTTAGATTTTTTTATGCAAGCTAACCATTTTTATCACGTATCCCCAGCTCCAGGGAAACAGTATGATCATTTTAGCGTTCCTACCTGTCATACATCATCTGCTTCACTAATGAGGTGATGGATGATGATGTGACCTTGACGATTCCTCAAGGACACTTTGTAGGGAGAAAGCTCATGCCACTGTCCGACAAACGTTGGAACAGTTCATATTCTACCTATGACAAGCACACATTCAAACGCTTATGAAGAACCTCGTTGTCATACGTTGTATAGAGAGCACGACACTGCAATCTCCGCGCGAAGCGTCATCGCCGTACTGAATGAGGCTACTGTTGTATGGGGCGAGACCAATAAACCATATAGGGAACCGGGTTCGCAAGACTATAAACCTTATAAAAAGCTGACGCGGGTGAGATCCGACGACTTGATACTCTCGGCTTTGTGCCCAACAAACAGCCTGTAGATAATCTTAGAGCTGTCATGTTATGAACTTAAGAGTAATAGGATGCCACGTGACATCGCTATCTGATAGCAAATGCCGCAGTGGTGTCCAGGAGGAATTGTTTATCGTCGTTAAGCACTGTAGTTTGTCCGCTACAAAATAGGATATGGTACAAAGAACTAACGAACATGGAGGATAAACAAGAGTCTAAATGTATGGATTTGTAGAAAGTGATACCCTAGTAGTGTAGAAGAGTATTTCGTAGTACAACACTATGACGCATTCCATTGATGGCCACCGTCACCCGACTATCCCTAATAATAACTAAGTTTCTGGTTCATTGGGGAAGAGAGCGGAAGCCGAAAAGGGCAGATAAAGAAGATATCGGCCATGGCCACCTTAAACGGTTGACTTGAATACCACCACGGGGAAAGCTCTCACAAGAATACAATGGAAAGTCAGTCGAAGCAGACTATGAATATCGATTCCTGTTCGACCGAGTTTTGCCATTCCACGCAAAAAAAAAGGCTGAAACAATGTATTTCTGATAGGAATAAGACATTTTGAACATTATCAAACAAGTTGTTGACCCAATAAGTTTCGAAAAAAGTATCCACTGTATCGGGTCTGCATTCACGTTTCAGTTAATAGGGGAGGATGATTGCACATAAGCAGTGGTAAAATGAACAACTGGACAGTCATGGACAAAGGACGACATAGAAAAAAGCAAGACAAGTGCTCAGATCGTAAGAAAACTTGTACCATATATGTAGACCCTTTTTTCCGTTTCCTCCACCTTTACACTAAAAATCAGTCAACTGGTTAACAACTCACACCAAATAGACTGCCGATCTCAGAACAATGGAAACTAGGAACACTAAGCCAACCGGTGAAGCAAACATGTGGTGCAAGACACACTACGCGACACCAGTAACGCAACGTAAAAACTGCTGGACGGCATTCGTGATACGAAAGAAGACGGGTGCTCGTACATCGGCCGGTTAGGAGTGGACAGAATGGACAAGTTTAAAACCGGATTGCCGGGATACCCACCGCCCAGCAGAAAACCAACGCGGCGGCATTCCAATTCGCATGTGATAGCGTTGCTAGGCCCGTGTGTGCACGCAAACATACACAAAAGACATTACTAAATGCCACCGCGAATACATGGGAGTGACAAAATCTACCATGAGTCGACCGTTCCGTTCCTGGATCAACAAGCAACTTGGTCGTTCGTCTGGACAGTTTGGCCGGTTGCCAAACGCCCTGGTCCATGGGCTTGCACGAACGAAAAGTGTGGTCTCGTTGTGACAAAAACTATGTCGGATGACGAATGGTACATGAGGCCAACATGTGATGCACAAACGACACTTCCGATCGTGACATACACACAAACCCAAACTTGTAGATAGTTCGCCCAAACCAAATACGCGACAAGCCTACCTTTTATATCTGGCCGCTGCCGCGCATGTAAGCAGGTGACGAGGTATGTGCACGATACCAGTTTGACCATTTAATCAGGCAAGCTACGGCCAATGTCGATCAGTAAGACTCAAATAGCTCTGTCATGCTTTTCGTCCGGAGTCGTAACGAGAAGCAACGGGATATTCGTGGCCAAGATAGTGTACACATTGTTTAGCGGAATGGGGAGTAAAACTACACGGATTACCAGCTAGAAGGAGCATGTACGTGATGATCAGAATAAGTGTCGAGTTGAATTTACGGGTGAATCTGGGGGACACAAACTCACTCAGCGCAAGGAGCTCGGGCGATCGTATGTTCGGATGAGAGCTTGGTGCATGGGAAATTAGAGGGCAGAGTGGCAGTAGCTGGATTCCGAGCTGGTGGCGGAGGGGGAGGGGACCGTGTGTGTAAAGGTACAGAAGTCGAATCATTTGCGTAGTCGGACACTGTTGGGTTGGGTGCAGCGAAGGGGACTTGATGATATTGCGAGAGCCGTTCATCTCGACGAAACATGCGCACCGGTCTTGCTGCTATCGGTTTCTTTGGTTTGGCCGCTGTTGGCAGTGGAGAGCCTTTAGGTGGAACGTTTGGAGGTCCTGGACCTAGAGGAGGACGTAAGCCAAAAGTGATATCCATGGACGGTTATGTGTGGGGAGGACGTCTAATGCTACAGAACAGTTATTCCTTTAAGTCATGCACGGTTTAACCAAGGCGAGAATGCTCGCGATGTGAAATGTTGATAAGTTTCATTTCTGTGGTAGCGGATGTTAACGAAATTGCCCATTGAGAGGATGGCTTCATTGACCAGTCAACGGGTAACAGCAAGTGAGGCACTAAGTCAGCATTGAATACGCACAAATGTGAAATAGGCGAAAACGTGACTGGGGGAAAGCCAGACATAACAACGACTATGAGGTAAGATGTTACGCGCAGATGTTAGTTTCTCAACGTTTTGGTTAGCCTTCTTCAGAACAGAACAGGTTTCTTTTCCGGTAGACAGACGAAGGGAAAAACATAAAAATGGCCGGTGGATTCCCACAATCAGATTGAATTTAACAAGTTACGTTGGAGAATTCGCGCGCTCAGTGTAGATTTACAGAAAAGTGCGAATGAACATCGATCGGCTGAGCTTAAAACAGAGTAGTTGCTGCTCAAGATATAAGAGGTTCAGGTGCGTATATAATGGACGAAAATGTGAACAAGCACAAGGATTTCCGCATACATTGAGTTGTGTGCATCTAAACACTGAGTAACAATTCGCATCCATAGCATTCAATGGAGGGAAATAGTGACGAAGTAAAAACTTGCTAAGAAAGGGTCGATTCAACAAAACGGCTCAGGCTTTCACGTTCTCTACCGACTGCAATACGGGGAACTAGTAACGCACGACAGGTGGTGGCGTGAATTCAGCAGCAGTAATTGATAAGACTTCTGAACGTCCGGTAAGTAAACAAAATAATATCCAGTACTGAGTGCAGAAGAATTAAACTATCTGATTTGACAAGATTTCGAGATTGGTCCGGATTCGTTGCTACTGGCTTAGTACTGGTGCCGTCCCGTCCGAGACAGTGGACGTAGGGCAAACAACAGTCACCACAGAGAGCACCATGGAACGCAAAACGTGTGACGGTTAAAGGACCGTATGTGATAAGAATGAACAAAGCATTTGAGACTGGATAAAAAGTAACCATAAAAAGTGTTTTATCGTGCCTTTGTCAACTTCATTCCCATTATCCTGAACACCCGCTTCCCATACATTGAAATAAACACTATCGGAAGATTCGCTCCGCTGCACGGTTCGCTCTGTCACTTGTTGTTTTGTCTGAATTTTAGCAGGGTCCATGGTATTCGATTTCTGTCGGGTTGGTCGTGGTGGGACAACCGGGAGGGGGTCAGATGATTCTGATGGGTAGAAAGGCAAAATGTACGGCTTAAGAATGTGTCGACCAGAAAAGGCGAACTTGGAAACAACATATCCTGGGCAATAATGTTGACATGTAGATAAAGTAGTTGTTGTGTCAAAGGGCATGGTAACTAGAATGGATCTAGATCAACGCCATGAGACTAAACAAACGCGACCGAGATACCGGATTGTCAGATAGGTTATAGAGGATACGACGCAATCGATATAAATATAGTTCGCAAGCAACCCCTGAATGGCGTTTATTAATAACGTGTTATTCAGCGTTGCTGGTATCTGGTCATTTGGCTGACTGCATAAAGGTGAACAGTCTCGATTACTCGAGCAGTCGAGAAAAGTCTAACCGGAACACACAGATAAAAAGCTAATCAGGTAGCATACTTATTGGCAACTATGCCTATCTCCACAGAAAGTCTAGCCCTCGAAACTAACCACTTTTGGGGATATACACTCATCTGCAAACTAATTTGGTTCTTTCGAGAGACTCACCTGGAACCCAGCTGAGTCTCTTGTTTATGATGTTCTCAGGCAACTGAATGTGCTGCACCAGGCCGCCTCATGTTTCAGTCGCTACGATATTCGAAATATCGCGATACATGTATATCGTTGTAATGTACTACTCACAAGGTTGCTGAAAATCCGTCGACAGCCCACGACCGGTTTCGCCCTTCTTGGGGCTCATCAGGTAGGCGCAGATCATAAGGTTGACGGAAACCCGGGTTCCAGGTGAGTCTCTCGAAAGAACCAAATTAGTTTGCAGATGAGTGTATATTCGCTAATTTCGTGCAATTTGGTTTCGAGTAAAATATAAGGTTGACGGAAACCCGGGTTCCAGGTGAGTCTCTCGAAAGAACCAAATTAGTTTGCAGATGAGTGTATATTCGCTAATTTCGTGCAATTTGGTTTCGAGTAAAATATAAGGTTGACGGAAACCCGGGTTCCAGGTGAGTCTCTCGAAAGAACCAAATTAGTTTGCAGATGAGTGTATATTCGCTAATTTCGTGCAATTTGGTTTCGAGTAAAATATAAGGTTGACGGAAACCCGGGTTCCAGGTGAGTCTCTCGAAAGAACCAAATTAGTTTGCAGATGAGTGTATATTCGCTAATTTCGTGCAATTTGGTTTCGAGTAAAATATAAGGTTGACGGAAACCCGGGTTCCAGGTGAGTCTCTCGAAAGAACCAAATTAGTTTGCAGATGAGTGTATATTCGCTAATTTCGTGCAATTTGGTTTCGAGTAAAATATAAGGTTGACGGAAACCCGGGGACTGCGCCTACCTGATGAGCCCCAAGAAGGGCGAAACCGGTCGTGGGCTGTCGATAGATTTTCAGCAACCTTGTGAGTAGTACATTACAAAAGTAACCACTTTTGGTTGGCCTCTCGAATGGTTAACAAGAAATAATAATGCTAATAATCATTCCGCTGTAACACCCTGTCGGTGCATAGCTGTCATGCCATCCGAAGGAAGCACGAGAGCTAGGGCACTACCAAGTCGTTCTAGCCTACACAAGAGCGACTGAGAGGCAGAGGTCTGGCTCGAACCATGGACTTTCCAGAGCGCTAAGCTATCTCGGGCCCTGGCCTCTCAAAGCTTATACGGAAAATTAGGAACCTGGGAAGGACACTTTTCATATCGAAGCTCATGCCTTTTGCGGCCCATTTTAGTTCAAATACTATATGAAGGAAACAAAGAAAAACATACGACACTTTTGGCCTATATGCAAGTGGGCGGTAATTTTCTCTCGAGGGGCGTTCACACCAACAAATGATACCTGTGCAACTTTAACCAAGTGTATGTTCGGTGTGACTGTTGGTCTTTGTGTGGTACATATGAAGTGTAGGGACAAAATTTTAGAAAACCAAGTCAGTGGTAGTCGGTAATTTCGAAGTACGCGGTATTTTGAGGTCTTCGAAGCTAAACGATGAACGCATCATGATTCATATGGTCCTTTGATGTGTGCGAAGTCATTCATCTTAACCTCCGCCTTTCACTGTTTAATACAATATGTTAGCTCGATGCGCGTTTGAGTGCAGTGACCTAGACACCTGGAACAAATAATGGGTGAACTGCATACGCTTGTACTTGGAAGTAACAGGGATCACATACGAGATAAGCTGTGGTGTAATCGGACACTGAAGTGACAACACACCTCCGGACTTTTGACACTAGACTTATTAGTTCTCTCTTCTTCAGAAGACATCACTTCTGGTTGGTCTTTTCGGAGAGTAGCACCACAAGAGAACATATACAGTTGTTTTTCATCGTTTGAGCTTGAAATTGTTTCTTAAGAAAAAGTTTTCGGTTTGCGATCTGGTTCTATCCACATGGAAGACCTGATAGCAGTGTGGTCGGATGCTGTCAGTGCTACATTACTCATCGACTACACAAATGCCTTTGTCAGTGCTAGCTGCAGGCTGTTGCTACTGGGTGTTATTTCTCATAGGCGATGGCCAATGTTTGTTAGAGCTAGTTCACAAGTATTCACCAAGCGAACAAAATCTACGTGCCAGAATGGATGGAAGTCCTCTCAACTACAACCGTACACGACACGCTTCCATCAATTCCTCTGTCTGTTTTGTTAGTTCATGAGACTTGTCCCTCCTTCATTCTTCCATGTAATGGAAACACCGATTCCAGATAACAAAGTGCAGAATGAACAAGCTGAGCCCCCGGATGCTTTGCTTTTCACTAAGTCCACAATAAGAAGCAGTTTCTTCCCTGTAAACAAGTGAACAACCCTGAACAAGAACGAAAACATTGCTGCTGATACACCAGTTGGACGTTCACATAAGCTAAATCGTTGTTAGTTTACATGCATGAATTTGCTCTCCGACAGGAAGCCAGTAAATGATGCCTTAACTTGACGGAGTATGGAATGCGTAGACACATACATGATGAGACAAAACGAGATATGGGGAAAGTACAGACCATGATAGGAATATAAAAAATGACGTGAAGTTAAAACAAAACCCAAAAGCCATAAGGGTTTTAGGGTAGTCCGAGTACAATGCAACTAGGTTAACACACTGAAACCCCATAAATGAAGCTGTACGTTAGGGACGGTCGTGAGTTTGATCATCCGAGGGTCCGACAGCAAGTCTTCAATGACAGAGGAGCATCTTATTACAAAAGACTAGGCGACCGACCATACCCAGAGAAACAAAAATTCGGCTTCGTGGGATAAGTAACTGAGGAAGAAGACGACTGTGTTCACTGCATTTGGTCAAAGTACACTAGGGTGTATTGCGCTTCCTAATGGAACAGCAGGTATCTGCCGACTGGACTTACCAGCAGAATGCGGGTCGATCGTTGATTGCGTAGAGGGGAGAAAACTGTAGCCATCGCCGCAGGAAACAGCCGTTTGTTGGTCTCCGTTATCGGTTAGATTGACATAAGAGTGTTTCAGAGGAGGGAGCTGGTTTTTCCGGGAAATTGTTGGTAGAGGGCGAGAATAACGGATAAACCAACCATGAAGTCGATTTTAGGATACAGGTTCAAAGTGATATACAATAACACCACTGACCCAGAAGTCCATATACTGAAACCTAACGACGGGAGTGATTTAACGATTACGCACCATTCGGGTTCTGTCTGTTCAAACCGCAACATGCAGAAAAGACCTTTCAAAACATAGAAAGAAAGTAAATAGGCAAAGAAAGGGCCTCAGGGGATCCGGCAGAAACTCGGCTCGGATATTGCTAAACAGACTGAGCCCCATGTAATGCGTAATGGTGAAACTTGTAAAGTCAAAACACGGAGTAGTGCAATAAGATGTCGTAAACCGACATTTAGGTTGCCGTGGTCAACCGTTGTCAAGGCATTCAGCGACCAGTTGAATATACCAGTGAGGTGCAGCGTCACTTGGATAAACCATCGTGTCTTCTGATTCGTGCGTTTCTAAGAGCAGTTGGCAACAGATGTGTCCAGCGTGAGTGGGTGTGTCGGGTCTGTGCACGTGTACGCGTGGTTGTGTGTACTTTGATAAGGACGTGTCTCCGTCTGTTGTGCTGGCTATGATGCATAATTGTCGAGATTTCTGCTGGAAACAGAGCTACAGTGTCTACTGAAGCCAAATACGCAGGCCAGAGAGCCAGGCAGCTGCATGTGCAAATGACGGAACCGAAATGAAGTGAGCGTTTTCCTCCTAGAAACCCGATTGCGAATCAGCAGTTGCATACCACACACTCGAGTTCAGCCATAAAATCAACTTCGATGGTGCAAGTATACTGCAGTTATGATTCAAGTCGCACGTGGAACGGGCGGGCGCTAAAGCACGAGATCAACAAAAGACCGCACTGTATCAACAGTAGTGATGGCGCCAGCGTCCCGTCTATCTGTCCTAGACACCTTAGTAGTCATAGGAGCCAGGTGTCAAGCCGGGAACCCAAGAATGACGCATCACAGCCAGCACAATCACGCGTACACGCACACAGATCTAACAAATACCCACAAACGTTCGTCGTGACTGATTCCCAACCGATGTCAGTGGCGATCTTGTTGTCAGTTTCTATTCAGATTGCCCGAATGAGTGCTTGGAGGTGTAGGCATCTCGAAATGATTGTAGTGAGCTAGCACTAAGTCAAACTCGTCCACCTTATTCTTTTCTTCACAGGAGCGTACTAATCAGCAGACATAATAACGGCAGGGTGTTTTGACTTTAATATTCCGAAAAATCCCATTTGGAGTAAGAACAAAGATTGATTGACGAAAATGTTTTCGGCAAGGTCTCTTCAAGTCACACAGTTGCAAAGGTTGAGAAAGCAGTATTTAACTATCAGAAAGGTCAGATTCCTGAAATTAATCTCAGGACGCCCGGAACCTACTGAGACCCTAAAACTCCAAAATGTCATCAGGAAAGCAGAAAAGCATCCAGGCCAGTCAATCTTTTAATCAAGTCAGCAAAAGCCTATGAGTGTTCAGGCGCGCCACAGAAGCACGACCGAATGCCATCAGCGTTCAGGCATTTCATAGAAGCACGATCGATGTTTGTGGGTGCTCACTTAACGCCTATCAGTTGGCCTGGATAAATGTCCGGAAGCGCGGGGCCGTTATAGCTTTTGTACTCGCATGTACCCTCTTGTTTGGAATAAAGCTGTTGTGTACCCACGTCGGTGGGCACTTTTATGACACCAGGAACTGGACTGGGAACAGTAGTTAGATATAACATTAACATAATTGAATGAGTCTGGTGTACATGGATTGAACATCGAGTGAGAAGTGACACTGGCTATCTGTCGTGGAATAACTGGTTCAAGCCACCATAAGGATGGTCTGAGTTCGTTAGTGCTTAGCACAGGGTGTGTGTGGAGGGAGGTGAGCTGGACCCCGGCAAGTACAACACGCGAACAAAGGGTTTTTGCTGACAAAGGAACGGGTTGTGATGTCGTATGATGTTAGCGCCAGCCACTGCGATCGTGAGTTGATGTACCGATTTGGGTTGATTAGCAGGCGCCTTGTAAACAATACTGATGCTTTGGCTCGGGACCACATTGTGCGCCGTGTCTGCTAGATGTACGACAACGCTGATTATCGTCCTGCTAGTTCCAGAACCTGGTCAGGGTGGGTTGTGTTCTTTCATTCTTTGGCCAAGTTGCTTAGTCGTGCGTCCAATGATTTCCGCTGCACACCAGCAAGAAAATGAATATACTAACATATTTAGGGCGTGGACGGGCACTATGTCTTTGGGATTAAAGGAACACAGACAATTGCTTGTAAACCAGGTTCGGAGAGTTGCGACCGGGGAAATATTGTTCAACCTAGTATAAAGTCTTCTGTTCAGTAGGTCGGTTGGTACGGCACCCTTAAACGGAGGGCTAAAGTTAACGTTTTTTTAACTGTGACAGTGACAGTGCTGGCTTGTCCCCTGTTCAGATGCTTTATAATAAAATCGTCTGTAGACTGGTTGTCTCTCAGAACGTTGGCGACAGTTAGGATTTCTTGTTCCAGCGCATCATCAGGGCATATCATCTTCGCTCAGTTAGTTAAGTTTTCAATCAGATTCCGTTTCTGCTTTAGTGGCCCGGATTATCAGGCCTTAGGAACACCGATCGTTTCAGCGCACCATGGTGACGTCGTTCAAGACCGACATCTAGAAAGCAGAAGTTGTCGGTTTCTCCTACCAAAGTGAATTGGTTGGCGGTGTGAGACTTAGTGAATTTGAAGCATTAAATTGAAGAAATTCCATCTCCGCTTTACCGTTCAATACAGCGAAAATGTCGTCCACATATCGGCAGTAGAACTATGTTTACTCTACACTAGCTTTCAAGGGACCATTTTCAAGTTTGCTCATTTAAATGTCGGCTAGCATCGGGCTTAGTGATGGCGCAGTGGTTAGGGCGCGAACTTACTGCCCGGAAGGTCCGTGGATCGAACCCGACCTCTGCATCTCGACTTCCCCTATCTAGGCTTGGGCAACTTGGCAGGTTCCTTCTGGTGACATGGCAGTTAGGCACCCAAAGGGTGCTGTAGGTGAATCCAGTGGTGAGCCCATGGCGAAGCCATCAATTTGACGGTATAGCATGTCATTTAGCAATAGTTGCACATTTGATGTGCATCGCAGGAGGAGTTCTCGCATCCCTCGTGCTTCCTTCAGGTTGCATGGCAGCTAGGCACCGGAAGGGTGCTACAGCTGAACGCTCTCTAACGCTCTCTCGCAATTCGTTGACTGGAATCGGTAAGTGAAAGTTATTTGCATCTATGTAGTTATATGGGTACTTGAGCATCACTGACGGCCGCTGAGGAATTTCACGATGCGTGAAGATCTGACTCAGACGAAAACGATTCAATCTATACCTAGCTGGTTCACAGTTCCGCACATATTCTAACGAATTTCGCACCGGCTGCAGGTCGGCTAACCAGACATACCAACTATTTTAGTAGGCAAACATTTCGCTGCAAAATATATCGCAATATGCGACAGTGTTTATCATGAATGGATGGTGTGTGTATGTATGTGTGAGATGGAGTAACTTGTCCGCATTCAGTATGCTGCAAAGGTATACGGAAAGCCACAGGAATTTTCCAATTCACGTACTCTAAGTGGATTTTTCGAGCATCAGCGTTACTTACCCACCACTCCTGCATGGTATGGTCGGGAGCCACTGGCGCTCACCAGAGTAGACTCAAACTGACGAATGAGAGAGGAACTAGTAAACACATGCTATATGGTGAAGTTGCTTAAAGGTTGAAGAATTGCACAATATAGTAGACATAGGGTCATTGCCAGGAGCCTTTGACTGAAAACTATGCCCAAAAGACAGTGAAAGGATGTGGGATTTTGTTCCGGGACCCTTCCTGACATCGGAGCCAAACTCTCAATAGTATAACCCACCTAGCTACAGGGAGCTGATCTGCCCCGAGGAGGTGATTAGTATCTCTAGAAGGACCCAAACGATCAAGCATAAAATGCCAATCTTTCAACGCAGCAAGGCACCTGGTCTGCATTGTCTGCATCCCGTACTCCTCAAAGGTGGGGTGGACGGTCTTCAGAGGATTTCGAACAAAAACGGAACAGAGCACCTCGGCCGTCATCCCAGTCTTCTACAACGGCACAAGAAGGTCATGCGAAAACCACCATGGCATCAGCCTGGTGTCCATTGCAGTTAAGATGCCCTCTGATATCATTTTGCGCAGGTTGGTTGACTACCAGGAGTTACAGATTTTTGTTCATAGTCACACCACTATCGTTTGAAAGGTCGTGTTCCTGTTCTGGCGTTATCATTCCGATGAGTCCACACCAAAGTGGAGCACGGGACTCGAGTTTCGTTCTTATCTGAGCTCATCAGCAGTGCATATCTAATGGCCGTGTTGGGATTTGAACCCCGGACATCTGACATGCGAGGCGAGCGTGTAACCACTACTCAACCAACGCACGCTGGACGCATCTGAATTTTCACGTCTGAACAGGCGAACGTGTTCACACTTGAGCGATGTGGCTGGTGTGTCCGACTCATCGAACGACGACCCAGTAACTGTCCTGGTTGTGACGATCGATTGACCCGCCAGCGTCGCTCTTCCCAAGTTTGGCATCCTTCTTGATCTGGAAACTGCTTTTCAGCCCAACCCTGTGTTGAATGGAAGTGACTGGTAGGTGGACAACCTATGGCCTAACTAACGAGTAAACTCAGTTGGGTTAACAGCAGGCACTTCTTTGAATGTGGCCACCGGGACTCAATGTTTACTGACACTGACAAACATGGCCCAATTACGCATTCACTAACGCTCGTGCATCAAAGCTACCGCCTTTAATGCGTAGTTGGTTGGTTGCTGGTGCTTTCAGTAATATACAATGTGAGGCAAGTGATATCACCACCGCTTCGAATACTTGGCTATCTCTTACGGTCTATGTTCCGGTGACCAAAACTCTGGCATCTGGAACCAACGCACACTTGGTACACAATTTATTCGTGATGAGCT